GCTTGAGTCTCACCATCTCTTGATAAGCACAATCATGGAAACCAAGAAGTCCCATGATACGCCATCTGCAAGCCGAAGACCAGGAAAGCTGATGGTATAATTCGTTTGGAGTCCAAATGCCTAAGAACCTGGGAAGAGGCATGGGGAACGTTGATGTAAGTCTCAGAGTTTGAAGGCCCAAGAACCAGAAGCTCCAATGTCCAAAGACAAGAGGGCATGATCCTTATATTGAATTTTTAATTTCAACTTTAGCACTCAGGGCATATGCCCTCGTCATCCGAACACCCGAGATCTAATCTTACCACCTCTTGCCAGATAAGAGATCTAGACAGGTTACTTAGCATCCCTGCCTCTTAGGTCCTGGAGATATAATTTGCATTCACAAATAAAAATTGCAAACAACACCATTGTACAGAAAAGTCTATGACCCTCAAGTATTAGTCCTTGAACAAAAACACTAAGAAAATTTAGAAAACAGACCTTTACCCTGTTAGCTCTCCATTACTCCCACATTCAGTGATTGCTATATGGTCTGAATGTTTGCATGCCCCCAAAATTTGTATGTCAAAACCTTGGTCCCAAAATGATGGTAATAGGAAGTGGGGCTTTGGAAGATGATTGGATCATGGGGGAAGGGCCTTCTTGGATGGGATTAGTGCCCTTTTCAAAGGGACCCAAGAAAGACCCTTCATCTTTTCTACCATGTGCGGACACAGCATGAAGGCACCATCCATGAACCACAAAGTGGTCTTTCTTTCGCTAAACACCAAATCTGCCAGTGCCTTGATCTTAGACTTCAAGCCAGAACTGTGAGAAATAAATTTGTTGTTTGTAAGCCATCCAGTTGTTGATATATAGCAGCCCAAACAGACTAAGACAGTGGTTATGAGGAAACAGATTCTTGTGGCTTTGACTTCTGGATTTGGGTTCCCTCACTTCTGGACTCCCCTCTTCTACCACCAAATATACCCTTTGTCCGTTTCATTAACAAAGTCTCTTGACCAGTGTCTCAACCTTGCCCCTAACAAGGCTAAACAAGCAAATCTCTTTTACCTAGTTCCTCAGGAAACGGCTGGTCCTCTTACTATCCAAATTAGAGATCTGCTCTTGCTGGTACCTCCCTGTCTTCTTTGATAAGAAAGATTCCCACCTTTGTTCTTATAGTTTTCTAAACACATTGCTTCCCATTCCCTTATAGGGAAAAAGGTATTTCTGGTACAGGGAATTAATTGACAATCATGCCACAGTCAGTTAATTGGCAAACATTTAATGCAGCAAATAAGTACATGCATTTTTGACTGTGGGATGCATAGATACATCATGTTTTCATGAGCATAGGGAGCGATCTAGGGGCAGGATGTATTAGTCATGACTCTTCATATTGGTGGTAGAAGCATAACTCAGACTGACTTAAGCAAAATAATAACTGGCTCCTAGAACTTGAAAAACATTGGTGTCCATGGCCATAGGCCTGACTGAATCCAGTGACTCAAACTCAGGCTCCCTGCTTCTGTTCCCCCTCCCATCTTACCTTTTGTTGGCCTCGCAACAGAGTGGCCACCTGCAATGGTCTCATTCTTTGGGGCTCCTCCATGTGGCAGGGGATATGGCCACCAGCGGCCCTAGGGTGACAGTTACTATGACTATATAAATTTGTCTTCCAGTATCCCCTAGGGTAAAAATATTGGGCATTCCTAGTCACCTAAATGAAGAACCTTATTTCTGGCAGAGTTTCCCTTTCAGGGCTGTATTAGGATAGTGTGGAATATATAGGAGCAATGTCAAGCCACTTCTGAAAAATATTAACCAAGGTTCTACTGGCTGCCTTCTTAGGAAATGATTAGATTCCATTCTTAAATGATTATGGCATTTAACTCCCAGCTAGTTTTTGTTCACCCAGACAGCTAATTATTATGAACAAAGATTACATAATCATAGCCTTTAAAAGTTTAATCATGGCTGACATTAACAGCTCGCCCTGAATATTAAATACAGATTTGTTGAATGAAATCAGTAGTTTTTATTTTATGGTGTAATAAAACAGTTACTGAAATGATCCTGAAGTTAATATTTAGATTTGGTTCTGGTTGTCTGGTCAGTATACAGGCTAGATACCTGCTACCATGCTTCTATAGGATGTTAACAGTATCTCTTGAGTAAAAAGTCCAGGCTGGACTCAATCGAGTCTGTAACTCCAGCAATTTGGGAGGCCAAGGTGAGAGGATTGTCTGAGCCCAGGGATTCAAGGCCAGTCTGGGCAACTTGATGAGACCTCATCTCTACACTACAAAAAATTGGCCAGGCATGATAGTGCATGCCTGTAGTTCTGGCTATTTGGAAGGCTGAGGCAGAAGGATCACCTGAGCCCAGCAGGTCGATGCTGGCCGTGAGCATGCTACTGCACTCCAGCCTGGATGACAGAGTATGAGACTTTGACTCAAAAAAAAAAAAAAGTCCAGGGTCAGTGCATTTGGGAACTACTGGGTTAAATGGGTCTTTTTACTGTAGAGTTGACACAATGATGGTGTGTGCTATAAGTCTCTTTGAGGGGAAGCGTAGCAGCACACAGCACAGAAACCTATCTGACCACAGATTGCTTTCTTCTGGGCATCTCATAGCACTGTGTTCCACAGGATGTGCTTGAGGAAACATCAACCTAGGATTGTTTGGCTGTTTAAAATTCAAATAATGAATCTGTCTTAAGGACAGGAATCAGAGTTGACTGACCTTGCTGCACAATCAGGTTTTTGATTGAAGATGACGTCATTTCGGGTGAAAACATCAAAGTGTCAACACAGGCCAGGATCATAGAGGCGATAGAGTGTGTAGTTGTATAATAGGTTATATGTGAACCACATGAGGAACTTCAGAACATGCACATAACTGGACACCCTGCCAGGATGCTCCAGTGGGCCTGGGCATGTGCCCGTGAAAAAGACTCCCCATTGGTTCTGACATGTGGCCTTCAATATAGAAATCCAGTGACTAGCATTTGGATGTCAGTTAAGAGTTTGCACTTCCTAAAACCCTACCTATTCATTTATTTCATTCAGTACATATTAACCATGCCTACTCTGTTCCAGGGTTCATGCCTGGCAATGGCATCATTTCATTAAAAGTCAAACAAGGAAATTATTTTTGTTGTTTCTGCTTTAGTCTGCCTTCCTGTGTTGGCTGAAGAAGGATCATTCACCTTCATCCAAACTGAACCATTTAGATACTTAAAAGAACTTTTACTTTCTGAAATAGATTTATAGTAGATGCTTTACACATCCTATTGGAGGTTCTTAACCAATCACATATAAAAAGAGATACTCTAATAATATCAATGGAAAATGGGGAAAAAAACAGCTCTCAGCAAATTGGTTTAAATAATCCATTTTATTGGGTCTTACTAAGAATACTGTTAATAGTAACTATATCATCAAGCAACTATTATATATCGTATTTTTCATACTTTCTTTTAATTGAAGACTCTCCTAATTAAAAACCCTCCACTAACCCTTGCAGTCTGGGATTATCCTTGTCTTACAGATGAAGAAAAGCCAAAGAGAAGCCATGTACCTAGCAGGTTTCTCAGTCTACCTGTTCATACCACTGCTCATCAGATCACATGGAGCAAGAGGGGGCTGTAGCACCTCACCCCATTAATCTTCAGGGTGAATTTGGGTAGTCTCCAAATAGCCTTCAGAGGACAATGCTTTAAAAGGGTTATGTGGTCATATGTGTTAAAATATTGCCAACATTTTATGATCTTTGGAGTTTTCTTTATGCAATGAATGGTCCTAGTGAATTACAAACAACTCGTCTGAATCTCTTTTAAGAAGATATTTAAATTACTACAGACTCCACAAATTACCGTAGAGAATTCCTTGAACTGAACACAAAATACCTTGGCCTGGCTGGAAATAGCAAAACTCAGGCACCTGGCCCCATGTTTGGGAAAACTCCAAAGTAAGCTCTCTGAAGCATCAGCAAACCTCGCTAAGTTGTTACAAAGGAATGCTGCTTGGATACATAGTCTAATTTTTTTAAGTAGAAAGGACAGCCAAATTAAAGTTCATCATCAGTATCACCCAAAGGATCTGAGAACAATTCTAGTGTTGAACATCAACCGTTATTGGAAAATGGCTTCAGATGATCAAAGAGAACAATGGAGGTTAAGAAAACGAATTAATAGGGCAAAATGTTTAGTAAACGAAAAGAACAGAAACCATTTCTCAGGAAGTCTATTATGATTTTTAAGCCCGACTACTAAAAACTGTTCACTACAGCTTTAAGATCCATAATGCACACTTCTACATAGAGAACATAAGTATATAGAACCATTATACATATATGTATATAGACACATGTGTATACATATATATGTGTATATATTGAGCCCATGGCATTATCAAGACTTAAAAGAGGAAAGAGAAACAAACAAACAAAAAAAAGCCAGGGATAGAACTAGAAGAGATAGAAGCCAAGGAGAGTTTCAAGAAAGGAGTGCTTACCAGAGCCAAAAACACAGAGGTCAAATAGAGAAAAGACCAAAATGTATCCAATGGATTTGGAAACCAGAGTCACCGGTAACCTTGAACAGTAGATAGGTAAGGGCAAAATCCAGTTTACAACTGGTTAACGAAAGAAAGAAAGGTGTGGAAAAAGCCTCTCAACATTCCCTTCATTTATTCATCCATCCCAATGTGTACAGAATAGTTATTGTGTGTTCGTTGGCAGTTGGCTCTAAAGAGAAGGACAGAAATAGGTTAAAACTTTTAAGTTTTTCCCAAGTACTATGAGTTGGACTACAAAACATTAAGTGCTGTGATTCACTTACTCATGCTTAGCATATATAATATAGTACAAACCATTGAAAACAGTAAACAGAAAGTAAAGTAATAAATAATACAGTATGAGCCTTGGGTAAATGCGAGTGATCCATAATGTTCGCTGGGCTGGTTTCTTCTCCCAAATTCACCCATTTGCTATAGCTGAAGATTGAGGCCCTCCCGTCATTTGGACATTTCTGCAGCATCAAATGGTATCTTTTCAAAATGAAAATTCTTCCACTTTGGGTACAGCATCTGAATTCCAGTTGCAACATCTTCCACTACAAAACTTTCAATTTTTATAACTGGAATCTCAAATGTCTTATACTTCACAAAGATTCCCCAGTCATGGCAACAATCCTGTCTGGCACAGAATATCTTTGCTCTTTTCTCAAAATTCATATATGTCTTTGGTCTGGGGTGTGGTTTAGTCACAAAGCATTCCTTAAAAGCACCTCCAAGCACAGTGTAATGGCTTTCCTAAAGATGAAGGGAAGGAACAACACAAAAAGAGAAAATGAGAACCAGTACATAATTGTGACTAAAAAAAGAAAACTTAACAATAATCTGAAAAAAAGTACAGGTGACTCTCGTTTATTTTACAGTCTGAGGAAGAAGGAAATATGGATTCACCTGAAGTCCAGACTAGGATCCATGAACCTTGCCCCCTTCAAACCACACTCCAATTGATGCAATTCACTGTTAAGACACTTTTTCCACTGCTCAAAATGGTTTTTGAACTCATCAGTTCTGATGTGTTTTAGTGCTTTTACCCTTTTTTGTTTCACCTCTTCTACTTCAGCAAAACATTTCCCTTTGAGGATTTTTTCTTTTTACCTCTGAACTTTTTATTGGGCTCCTGCGTCTCTGAAGGGTACCCTGCTCCCCCCGCCTCAGCACCTCATAACGTTGGTGTCATTGGTCTCAGACACCAGCTTGCCATCCACTATCCTGCAGGTAGTGACCTTCTGGGGTTTTTTTTGTGTTTGTTTTTTGTTTTTGCAGAATATATATATATTTTTAATTTTAAAGATGTGGGGTACAACTCAGGGTTAGGTATAGAAACATTGATTATGCAGGTACCTTTGTTGATGAGGTGTGCCCCTCCCCTGCCAGTTTCCCACTACTGTCAATTCCTTTCTTATAATATTGACAATTGTTCAAGGTCTGCTCATGAGTGAGAACATATGGTATTCTGTTCTTTGTTTTTATGATAGATCACTGAGTATGATCGACTCTAAATCCATCCAAGTTGCTGTGAAGTCCATATGTTTGCCCTTCTTTATGGTTGCATAATATTCCATTGTGTATATGTACCACATTCTCTTCATCCAGTCTAGCTTCAATGGGCAGCATGGTTGGGTCCATGTTTTTGCTATTGTGAATAGAGCTACAACAAACATACGTGTGCAAGTATCTTTTTTGCAGCATGATTTGAGTTCCTCCGGATATATTCCCAATAGGGGAATTGCTGGGTCATATGGAAGGTCTGAATGGAGCTGCTGCTATCCAGGGCATCAACAAGACTGAAGTCCTCCCCATTCTCCAGCAGGTGGCGGTAGATGGCGATCTCAGCCTCCAGCTTGACCTTGATGTCCGGCAGGGCCTAATACTCCTGGGCCTGGCACTGGCCCATGTCCAGGTCTATGCCTGCCCAGACTCCAGGCAGCAGGATGCCGTTGAGCTGCTCCATCTGCATGGCGTAGAAGGCCTCCACCTCCCTCAGGCTGTTCTCCAAGCTGGCCTTCAGGTTTCTCATGGAGTCCAGGTCAATCTCCAAGGACCGTGCTATACGTTTCAGCTTTGTGAGCGTCATCTCAGCAGCTCCGATCTTGGTGGACTGTGTGGTGAACACTGTGGCACTCTCCTCAGTCTGCTGGGACCAGTACTTGTCTAGCTTGTCTTGGTTTTTCTGAGCCATCTCATCATACTGGACCTGGATATCTGTCATGATCTTGCTGAGGTCCTGAGATATGGGGGCATCTACCTCCACAAGCAATCTGGGCTTGTAGGCCTTCTACTTCTTCCTCATGCTTCTTCTTCATGAGGAGCAGCTCCTCCTTGAGAGCCTCGATCTCTGCCTCCAGCCACAACCAGGTGACATTGGTATCATCAATGACCTTGCGGAGCCCACTGATATCACTCTCCACCAACTGGCGCATGGCCAGCTCTGCCTCATACTTGACTCTAAAGTCATCAGCAGCAAGACAGGCATTGTCAATCTGCAGAACGATGCAGCCATTTTCCACAGAAGTTGCAAAGATCTGAGCCCTCAGGTCCTCGACGGTCTTGAAGTAATGTCCCAGTCTCTGACCTGGGGTCCCTCTTCTCCAGTGTTCCTGGATTTTGCTCTCCAGCCTCCAGTTCTTGGTGTCCAGGATCCTCACCCTCTCCAGGTAGGAGGCCAGGCAGTTGTTTAGCTCTTGTATGGTCTCCTACTCTTTGTGGATGCTCCCCAGACCCCCAGACCCCTAGCCACCCAGAAGCTGGTGGAGCGGGACACAGAGATCCAGGAGCCCGAGCCGCTGGCACCTGCATAGATGCTGGCCATGCTGCTGGTGGACTGGAGGCTAGGTAGCTGGATGGAGCCCAGGGACCAGTAGTTGGTGGAGAAAGTGGTGGAACAAGTAGTGAAGCTCATGGTGCTGGCGGAGGAGAGCCAGATGGCACGACTCACGTTTTCCCCTTTGAGGAATTTTTCTCTGAGGAAACAAAGTCCCCGAAAGACTCTAGGGAACTCAACCCTCACTGAGAGCTGCTTTCTAGCCTCGCAGGAAACTAGTCACTCACAGGAAACTGCCTTACCCACAGCTGTGCTTTACTGAAACCCATGTGAAGCAGTACAGCAAAAAAAGTCCTGCTACAGCTGCCTTTTTCTGGGAACTCAACTCTTGCTGATGACTGCTTTCTAGCTTGCTTGGAAGAGAACAGAAAGGGGTCATGCCATTTTTGGTCAAAAACTGCTGAACACTCAGTGAGGTGTGGGCAGATTGTTCATGTAAATCACCCATCATAAAATGGGCAAATGCACTGAAAGAATCTGAAGCTGATCACAGTCTTCCAAACAACACTAGCTAGTATACTGCTGCTGATAGGTTCCTAGAATACTTACCTAGCAGAGTAATCCTGTACTACAAGGGGCCCAGCCTCCAAAAGATAATTCCGAGGTTTTTTTTTTGGGGGGGGTGTCCCATATCTATGGAAGGCTAACCTGCAGGTGTTGTGTTTACA